ATGTGCTGCCATCTATTGGCCACTTTTAACAATCATAATTATATTAATTACTTCTTTTTCAGAACTGTAAAATAGTTAATAATTCATGTCGTCATTACGTGGCATGTACCTCTTCATAATAAGTTAATTTATTTAAATTTTAAACTGTGGTAAATATTTAAATCTATGATTGTTAAAAAAAGCATTAACATTTAAGTTTATACTTCAACAGTATTTAGTTAAAAATTGTAGAATATTATTTTTTTTATGCTTAAATTGACTACATTTTTTTTTTTTTTTCAATCATACAAGTAATTTTAACTATATATTTTTTTTAGTGAATAATAAATATACAATGGTATGGAAAACAATTTGATGTATCAAATACAGCTTAGAAACTATATTTATTTTTTCTAAATCTATAATAAATTAGAAAGCACAGATACAAATTAAAATGGAAGGACATGGACAAAATATGGCAAATGGGTCAAATCAATTCTTAGAAATGAATATTACACTGCAGTAAACTTAATAAAAATTTTAATACAATATTCATATGAAACTTTATTTCATTCAATACATATTAAGAATTTTGTACCCATAAGTAGTCTAAAATTTTGAGATAGAATTTGAAAAAATACGAGACGACAAAGCTTACAAGAATTGAAGTATAAACCAATTATAGATAGGAAATAACAAGTTAAAAAAATGTTTTTAAAATACTATTATAAATATAGAAAAATATGATTGATTAAAATAATTTGAATGGTTTAGCAGACAATTTCTGATTGTAGCTCTTTTTTATATATAAAGTTAAGTTTAAGTTGTACACTTATATATACATTGGAACAGACTTAAGCACATGAGAAGTAGAACTAATTTAACAATAACTTAATTAATCAGACGAAGATTGAAATTATACAACTATTAACTATACATAAAAATGATACTTGTCTTATCAATTTATTTTTAGAAGATTTGTTTATTTATTAAATAAACCTATTAACCATTAAACATTAAGGGCCTGTTTTACAATCATAGTTTAATCTTTGGTTACGCCTAACCCACTGATTTTACCGGCAGAATTCGGTGGTTTAACCTTAGTTTAACGATTGTAATACGGGCCCGTTTTACAATAGTTCATTTAAGGTTAAACAGTGGAATTCGACCGGTAAAGTCAGTGGGTTAAGCGTAATCGACTGTTGTAATACGGGCCATAAGTCATTAAGATAGTAACTAATAATATTATAATATGTGTTCTCACTACTATTCTCATATATATCAGTTTTTCTTATTATTTGATTGAAAAATGAATACATGTATAAAGTAATACAATTTAAAATTGCCAATTTATTATCTTTAATGTCAGAATGTTTTATTGAAATTACAAAAGTTGAATTCTTTTTGTTGAAGACATTTAATGTACTAAATAGTAAATGCCCATTATTTTCACATATTATAATTTATATTAAACTTAATAGTAAAAATTTAACTGAGTCATAAAAGAAACTATCACTTAATATTCAGTGAATTTATAGTGAGGAGTGAAATACAATTTAGTGGCCTATGATTGATCCATTACAGTTTAGTAAACGACTAAATTAAACATTTTTTTTTTTTATCTTCACTTAAGGAGTTAATATTTTTATAATAATTAAGCTTAAATAGTTTTTAACTACAAAATTGTTTATTTTTGTTAGTTTTATGTAGTCTCTTTTACATAGCATTGAGTTTTTGATTTTTTTCACAGCCAATTTAATTTTCTCAATAGTTGCGGAAAACAAATGAAATGATTGTATGGTATCCAAAGTACTAGTTGTAAATGAGCTTCATAATGGGCCTGAAAAACATCATTTCAATTTTAATAAGTACAGATAATTTAAGAATTTTTAATTTACCTGGAATTTGATTTGAACGTTTGATTCAAGCAGTATACTAGGTATCTTTTTTCCTGCCAGAATGATTTATCATCTTCAATATTTACCTAAAACTAATTGTAATTAGAGCGAATTTAAATAATTAACTTTGGGGATACAAACATCTCTTTACAGAATATATTTTTAATTTATATATATATATAAAACTGCAATTCCACATGTTGCTAATGCCAATGGCACTCATAAAATATGCAAACTATCCGTATTATATTTTATAAATAATGTGTAAACATGAGATTTTTCTAACACATTGTGATTGTGCAACTTACACAACACTATCAATGGGTACTTATCACTTATTACAGTAAAACTTCGGTAAGACAAAACTTCTAAGACGGTAACACGGACAATTTCTTTGGTTCAGATTCAATTACATAATGAATGTGAACCCCGTCAAGTTGGAAACAGAAAAATTGTATGGCCCTAAGCGATTACATCTTAGCGAGGTTTTACTGTACTCATAGTAACTTCTTCAGTTATTACGAATACGGACTACCATAAGTGTTAACACTGCATTATATTACTTTAAGACAGTTAAACATTTGGTTTAAATGGAAGTGTGGCAGACCTTCTTCTTGTATTATTTTGTCATATAAATTATAAAATTGTCTTAAAATAATAAACTTTTACTATAGCTCTTAGAGAAAACTGTTCAGTATCTTGTGGGCTGTAATACAAATATTTTTCTTCTTCTTTTAAAATCTGTAAGTTCATAAAACAAGGTTTAGAAATTATAGGTAATTACAATGCAGTGGCATATTTAGGCCGGTGCCTTTAAAAATTTGCTTTTTTATCAAACGAATGTTTGAAATTTAATTTTTAATTATACAATTTAATTGCTTGAAATTAATTTGTAAGTAGTAAAACAATGATATTATTATAATTTTTTTTTATTAGCTTCTAGAATATTAGTAAAATAGAGAATACATAGTTTTCTTGAGACATTTATTTATGCAAACTATGGACATATTTATTTTGTGTGCATAGCACTAGTACATATTATTGGGAAAAGTGTATAAATATAATAGAGTACATATCAGTTATTTGAAACTATCTTAACAAGTTCTTCAGCAAGCTCAGTTATTGTGACTGCCATGGGTTAACACTACGTCATTACATTAATTTGTCTTATAGATTACAAAATTATCTTAAAAGAAAATAACATAGTTATAACTTGAGGTAGTGAAGTAGTCACTAGTCACATTATCATTATTTAGTTTACTTGAAAATTGTATAGGTAGTTGGGACTTGCCATAACTGGTAATTACACTATTATTTTCATACATTTTCTCTAATAATGTATAGTATATATGTGTATTGTTTGCACGAATAAACGTCATAGCAAAACATAGCATTTTTTAAGTTATTCAAGAAATTTAAATATTTTAAAAGAAGAAGAAAAATGTTACACCTTACAAGAGACTCATCAGTTTTCTCATGGGTTGAGGCATACTAACAGAATTAAGATTCTTATACAATCATTATATACAAAATGTATTGATCCTTTCAGGATTACATATGGAAAACCAATTTAAATAAATATGTTTCATAGGAAAGAAAGAAACAATACATTTCATAAATAATATTTACACAAGTTTCAAAAATAATGTCATGATATAACCATAACTAGTCATTAGATGGCACTTTCTAAACATGGTCTTGACTCTTGACATCATATATTATAATCTTGGGTCAACAATGAATATTTTATTGACTGATTGTTACAGCCTCAGTAATCCCGTAGATATCTCACAATCATATTTCTATTTGTCAGTTCAGACTTTCAATCCTTTCCATTTACAAACCTAAAAACAGTTGTAAATAGAAATCAGTACTGAATATAATGATAAATTATAATTAACATACAGATACTTTTATTGGGGAAATTTCAATAATTTCCAAATAGACGTTGAAGAAACATCAGTCTTACAGCAAATCAAGTATCATAGAATTTTGTTTACTTTTGTAGTTTATAACGTAAGCACCAAACACAGCAACCTTGCAAACAGTTGGTAATAAAGTAGCAGTCGACTATAATAAATTCAAAATAATTATTAAAGAATAATATAATATCAATAAATAATATTATATATTATAATTATTTTACCATTCAACCAAAAATGTTTTGTTCATGAACATTAGAAAATGTTTATCGTGGTTCGAATGGTCAAAGATGTTTTGAAGTATTGAATGCATGACGAATTAAATGTATTAGATATTTTTAATTTTGTAATTTGATTATTTGAATAAATTCTAAAATATTTAATTTAATTTATAAATAAAGTAAAGTTGTAGCGTAGAACAGCTTAGATAATAGATACAGTATTGTGGTGTTATCAATAATAAGGTCTGAAATACGCACTGATACGGGAAAGGTGCAAACGTGCTGGTGCGTTTTTTTCACACCGATTTGAGCAACCGAATTTCTGTCTTGATAGTATCATGGAACACACGAATTCCTGAATTCTATCCACAACAGGTCGTCGTTTCCTCCATGTGAAGTGTATATAACGAATTTTTTCATATTCAGAAATCCCGTTTTTTTTTCATTTATTCAACCGAGTACCGACGAATTAATTCATTTATGAAGAACTTAGGTAAGATAATACTTTCAATAATATAAATTTTTTCCTTCTATTCATTAATCATTATTTATCTATGTAATTAGTAATCACTGATCAGTGATCACTCATTGTGAAGGACCAAAAGGACGCAAACGTGACAAGTAATGAACTATTGAATAATTCAAAAACATTTATCAACTGACTAGGTGACAACTTCCGCCACAACGGTTTTTGCAGCTTTCGTTCGACGAATGATATTTTTGACTAAAGTTTTTTTTTTATCTTAAGGTACCAAATTCATTATAATTTATTACTTATCATCACGGATAAAAAGAACCGTGGGTCCATCATAGAGTAATAATTACTCTATGGCGTCCATGCTCAACATTCATCCTTTTTTAGTTGTCTGGACTATAATTGAACAATTACTAATTAGTACATAGGTAGCGAATAATATAATATTATTTTGTTTTTAATATTTCACTATTAAACTGTTCCGCTTACAGAGAAATATAACAAGATGAGCAATTATACCACTCCGAAAATACTGCGTTCCACAGCAAAATTACCAGAAACACCTGCCTTGGAACGCATTGGATATGGAACAGGTGTGTTGTTTCTCAAGCAATGTTAATGTGTTCCAATGTTAACCCATATGATAATTTAGGTGTCGGTGTATTCAATTTGCAAAGAAAAGATCAGTCTCCGTGGGCAGCAAAAATTATCAGTCGTAATGCTGGTAGAGATCGCAAACAGTTTAGCAATCGTTTGCAACTGGAGGCCAAAGTATTATCGTCACTCAACCACCCTAATATAATTGGCTATAGGGCATTTGTCAAAAGACCTGATGGCCGAGAAGTATGCACTTACAAGCTAAAACAACACCTATTGTTTTAAATGTTTTCTGTAAAGTTCTTTTAATTTAAGGTACTATTAATGGAACAATGTGAACAAAGCTTAATCGATTTGATTGAAACGCGTAAGGAAGAGAATCTTGGACCATATCCTGTAGAATATATCACAAAAGTTGCTGTAGACATTGCAAAAGCATTAGATTATTTACATTCATCTTTAATATTACACGGAGACATAAAATCTGGAAATATTTTAGTGAAAAGTAAGTCTGTTTATGTGTCTTAACTACTAGTTACTAGATATGTGCACCATTATGGGGTATATATAAAAAAAATAATGTCCAAATTTAATTTGATGTAAATCATACCCGTCATAGACCAGTAGTTTAATTTTAAAATAAAGGAGATTTATGTAGTACAAAAAAAGTAACAATAACCACAGATCATCTGCAGACAATTGTTATGTCCTGCAATAACGATATAACAGAAAGAGACTGACGGACCAATTAAAATTGCATTTCTTTTCTGGCCAAAAAATAATATATTCAATTTAAATTATAAATCAAAAACATTTTTACAGATTTTTGTATAAATATTTTAACAATAATAATTACACACATTAGTAGAGTATATAAAAACTTCTTTGTTTATTTTTTTTAAAGTGTTTCCCGGGCCCTGACTGAAGGTTCACTTTTTAATATGTGTTAATTTACTTCTGTCTTTTAGTTGTCATTGAATATAAAAATAAAAATTAATACACATTTTATGTAATATTTTATTATTTTATATTTCATAATATTATTTAAGTTCAAGAAGATATACCTAAACAAAATTGATTAACTTAAATACAAAATTCTATTGACTGGACTAAAAACCAATTTATACAAATATCATTAATTTAAAAAATTAATGTTAACTGAAAAATTATTAATCCTTGTGTTATGATAAGGTTTACATTAAACAATGTATTTATTTATTAACTTTCTATTTTTAAGATTAATTAGATTGTTATCTTAATTTTCACAGATAACTTTGAGATTGTAAAGCTTTGTGATTTTGGTGTCAGTTTGCCATTAAAATTTGATGGAACATTGCATAAAATTAAAGGTTGTAAAGCATTATACATTGGGACTCCTTGTTGGTCTGCTCCAGAAGTATTGAAGGGTGAAGAATGTATGGGGGCCATCATCACAAGTAAAGCTGATATTTTCAGCTATGGTTTGGTACTTTGGGAAATGATGACTTTATCGTTTCCAAACTCAAGTACTGCAATTAATGAATCATATTACACTGGATTCAGTGAAGACATGGACGCCCATTTAGGTGATTTTTTTTTTTTTTGTAAAACCAATTAGTTTTGATATTTTGTTTGGTACTGATATTAATCAATGCTACATTTTATTCAGGTGAAACACCACCATTGCCTGATAGTTTGGTAAGTGATCCAAGATACAAACAAATTATTGAGCTGTTTAATATGTGTACAATGCAAGATTATAAAAAGCGACCTACAGCAAAACAGATTTTACGGTTTATGGGTATTTACTAACCTCTAAATTGTTTAACCCAACTATAATTTTAGAACCTTTATTTAAATTATTTTTATATGCCTATTTGTTTTATATTTTATAAGTGTACACAATAAAGCTTTTCAACTGTTTATAATATGTTATTAATAAAATATTTTTAAGCTTATGAAAGTAATAATTTTCTTGCAAAAACTATTGATGTTAAAAAATATTTAATAATTTTTTTAAATCTTATTTTAACTAAAAAAATGTTTTATTTATTTTCTTTATAAAATTGCATTTTATCTTAGAACTAAATCAAAAATTAATTTTTAAACATACACTATCTTGTAATTATAATTGCATAATTATCAGGCCCGTATTTAGGGGTGGCAGGGTGGGCCATTGCCCTTCCTGGTGGAACTTGTGGGGCGGTAATTTTTTCATGAACTTTTTTTATTATTAAGTCAACATAGTTATAACTTTAAAATTATGTAAAATGTTTTTTCCTTATGTATTGTGATTAGGTGGAGATTTCTCCAAAGCTTATTTTAGGATGATATTCTCTCAAATCTATTTTTATACTAACAATAATAATTCCTTGGATAACTTAGGTTTAATGGCATGATAGCAGCCCGCATCAAGTGTTGTTGTAAATAAGTAAAACACAACATAATTATAATAATGTCTATTTTACTTTTACGTTATACGTACGTCCTGATTATTAATAAAATTAAGATCAGAAAAAATGCAATTAAAATAAATAATAAATTTTTTTCAGTTTATAATTTATTTTTATAATATGAGTATTAACCTTAACGGTTCGGATACCAAGTTACTAGATTCTTTCAATCAATATGTACAATAATTTTTATTTACAATAAGATAAAAAAAATAAATGTTTATATAGAAATCATTGTAAATTGTAATATTGTATTCATTTTTATTTTACTTAAGTATACAGTATACTTTTTTTATAAAAACTATAATATGTTTATTTAACATAGGTTTTCCTAGTGATTTAAGAGATAACTAATAGATGAAAGTATGAAATATTGGAAGGAATGGAGTTTAGATGGAAATCAATTTTCGTGAATTTTTTTTCTTCAAAATGTGTGTTTTCCACGCTTAATGATGGTAAAAAAACTTCAAAACCTTAAAATCTTACATCATCAAAATACCAAAAATAATATTTTGATTTTTTTTTTTTTAAATGTGAGTTTTTATCCTTATAATTTTGGTGAAATCAGAAATTACCTATTGTACTTACTGTATATTATATATTTATATTATTAATAAAGAAATTTAATAAAACAAACTCCCGATGGATGGGATTTCGCAAACTCGTGTATAACGTTGAAACTAAGTCCGATCGACAAATTCTGTTTGAATCACTGATTGTTCTTAACTCATTGAACAAAAAATGTTTCCAAAAAAAAAATTTCAAAATCTAACCACATTTAAGGGTCATAAATAATGAACCAAAATAATAGGTTCCTTACAATTTAAGAAATAACTTTTTGGGGGGCGCAAAATGTTCCAATACGGCCCTGATAATTATTGCACATACTTGAATCTTTGGTTCTAATAGAAATTCAGCGTCCCGTAAATAATATTCTAATGGAAGAGCAACATGAGTTTTGTCCTGGTCGTTCCACAATGACATGAAATCTGCTAATTAATAAATTTATGTTTGAATCATTTCAACAGTGGTTAGAAGTTGATGTGGATTATACAGACTTCAATAAAGATTATTCTCATGTTGCTGCTAAATTACGACTTGCATATTTGGCCAAATGCAGGAGTATGCTTTGCATATAGTTTCTGAAGGGATTGCTGTCTGGCGAAGTTGATTCATCTGATTTACTATCCTTAGTCAACTTCAAGATCCCTCTAGTCAAATACGTTCTATTGTTCATTTTTATGTCCATTTATAGATGCTCGAGCAATTATGAAAAATGAGCCTGTTTGGCGTTTAATATTAATGGCCAATGAGAATCCACGTTTCGATCTTATTAAACCATACATAATATGTTAATATTAATATTAATTTAGATTAATGATTTAATTTTACCATATTTATTTTTAATTTTTTTTAGGGATTTGAAGGTATCTTTAATTTTTAAAAATGTTTTCTTTGATTTACTAATCTATTACAAGTATTATTGTAGTTACTGTAATATTATGTAATTATTTGCAGTATTTTCAAACCCGCTAATTAAAATAAAATATAATAATGTTAATGATTTGCATAAAATGTCTACAATAATATTTGAAACTAATTTTTATATTATATATCAGATTTTTTATTATATTTTAAAGTTAACACATTTTTTTTTTTTTTTGTTACTTTTTAAATACTTTAACATTTCTTGGGATGGTAGATTTTCTTATGGAAATAAAATTTTTATTATTTTCATATAATATTTTGTTTTAACTCAGTAATAAATTTCAAATAATAATATTTCTTACTATTCTAATAATAATAGTATTTTTCGCATGTCCTAGACCCTAAGTTTTGTCATACAATTCTACACACAAAACTTATCTTAAGGGGATTCGAAGCAGCGTATTTATTTCATGATTTAGACCTAAAAGCCTGACAAAAATACGCCTACTTAGAATTATCAGATTTCAATTCTGTAAAAAGATTCGAGTTCATTGACAATTTTCCTAGGTTATTGTGGGAATCAATTTTCGATTTTTTTTTAGAATTCACGTTAAATCATATTTTGATTTCTCAATTTTTTGAAAATTGTTTGTGTCTTTCTTTAAAAAGTTAAACAGTTATTCAAAAATCGACTCCCACAATAACCTAGAAAAAAAACGACGAATTCAAATATGTTTACAGAACTAAAATCCGATCATTCTAAGTTATCGTATTTTTGTCAGGCTTTTAGGTCTCAATTGATTGAAATTAGTTTCTCGTTGGAACAAATATTTTATTTTGTGACATGTGCATGCGCGTGCGAAACCACTGATTCCGAACGTATCTACGCACACTAATGATCATTTACTTCGCACACAAACACACTGCGAAACGACTATAAGACATCGAATTGCCTATACACGACCCCTTATTAAATCACCGCTTCGAACCCCCTTAATAACATGTTACTCCATAGAAATAACTTTTAAAAAGTAATTTGTTACAATAAATTGCATTAATCCAAATAAAATATTATAAAACTACTACCATATTACTGAAAAAGTAACTTTGTTACACTAATATTTGTAATTCGTGTTACATATTATTACAATATCATGCATTATGCAACATTACATTGGTATTTTGTTCTGTAATGAAATTACTACATTTTTTTTATGCCAACCAAAAAGAACGCTGTTGCAGTTTTATTATTTCCAGAATACTTTTTATTTCCCTACAGAATTTATTTAAAACAGATAAAAGAAAGTCACGGTGTGTATGTTTTTTGACCATAAATCGCATAAACCGTATTTGTGTTTCAAAAATACAAACGGTAACACGGCATTCTGGATAGGCTATTTCTTCACAGACATAGTTTTCCGTTATCTTATAATAACATTTTCATAGTATTCGGACGTTTCCCCTCTCGAATTTTAGCAGTACTGGACGTTTCCCCCCTTGAATCAAAATATATAGTGTGTTAACAGTAATCGAGAACACTCAATATCTTTGCGTAGAGACCTGCCTATTTGAATTCCGTTTTTTTGACAGTTGTTATGACATAAAAATACACATTTTTATGGTCTTTGAATTTTTTTTACTTAACTAATCACGCGCATGCACATGTCAACTTTTTTTTTTTAAATGGCAACCCCCTGCTTTAACCACTAATTATTTTTTTAATGAATTTTGGTAGTTGAATCAACTTTCTAAGTCCAAAATTGACCAAGTTACAGCCAATCAAAAAAAAAAAAAAAAAAATTAGAAAAAAATGCGCTCAAATTTCAGCTTTTTGATTGTAACTCTGAAAATAATTATTTTAGGATTGTTAAACATTAACATTTTTGTAACTATTTATTACGGTGATATTCATACGTTTTTTTAACTTCAATTACTGAATAATTTTCTCTTTAATTTGTGTAATAAATCATATAACTTATTATAGCAGAAAAAACGTAAATTAGTATGTTGTTTATTTCTTTGAATATCACCGTAATAAATAAAAACCACCACTTGCACAGTATAGGTACATTTATTTATTTACATTTGCAATTGTATATTATTATTGTTTAATATTTTTAGATTCAGAGTGGAACGATGAATGTGTTGATTTTACAATGATGTGTTTTTTCTTTTATTTGTGTCTGTGTGAAACTACTGCCGTCCATTTTGGAAATGGATTGTGTGGAGTGATAGCTAGGTACACCACTTTTTGTGGAAGGAGGATTTTGGAACAATCCCGATTCTATGTCAGTAACGGCAGTAAGTACTAAGTTTATGCTTTCATAATAAACAAATTTCGGTGACTTATACAAGGTACCAATATGATTCAACAGACATGCTCAGTGCCACCCCCATTTTAGATTCTTAGAATCTAAAATGAATGTTTTGATTTTACAAGTTTTTATTTTTATTTTTTTATTTTCATTAATTATATTTTTTTAAACTTTTTTTTGTGTCTGTGTACAGTGTACACGATAAATAGTCGAAATAATGGTTCGATTTTCAATTTAAGTACCTTGTTCGATTGGAAAGTGAATATCGTCGGTGCATTGGGGAGGTAAAAATTTGAAATTCCCAGTAATTTTCAAAAGCGCCAAGAAAAACATAAGAAACATTAAGGAAAAACGTGAATTTTTACACAAAATTGAATTTTTTTTTTTGGTGTAACTTTAAAACAAACATGAATACATGAATTTTTCACTGGTTGTTTATATTTGCATTTTCTATACACGATAACATTTTAAAAATGTTTTGAACTGTTTAGGGACATTTTCATTTTCCATTTTTTTTTCTAAAAATATCAATAAAATGTTGTTTGTTGGTTAAAAAAGCTTGAAAATTTAAGAGAAGGCTCCTAGTATATTGTTTCAAAGGCCGGTGAAAAATATT